AATGAAGTCAAGCTTCCCAAATCCAAGTACCATAAATAGCAAATTGTTTGCTTATTGTGCACATCAGGCATTTTAATTATTTTGTCATCTATCAGTTGCTTTGCATTTTCCTCTTCTTAATTACCCCCCCCCCCAAGAAAGAAAACATACCTTTCCCCGACCCTTTGTTCAGACCAGGATTTGTCTCAGGCTCTCTTCTGAAACAACATCAAACCTTGTCTTGAAGACAGAATGATGGAGCTATGTGCTGTGTCCTCAGGTCTCTGGAGTTGCTGCTCCCATGATATGTCCCTCTGCACTTAACATGCAGCTGAAGATCCTGGGGTAGAAGGTTCTCCTGGAATAAACAACGGTCAAAGTGTACAAGGGCAGAACCCCTGAAGAGGACAGCAAACTTTCTCCTTCCTGTTCATCACATAGTTATAAGCTCAACTATGTATCTAGTTGTGTAAACTCCCCACCCCATACTTTGTTCTACGTAATTGACCTTGGCTTACAGAGCAGTTCCGTATGAACAACAACAAGAAGAAGAGATTGGATTTATTCCCCGCCCTTCACTACCGAAAAGTGTCTCAGAGCGGCTTACAAACTTCTTTCCCTCCCCATCCCCACAACAGACACCCAGTGAGGTAGGTGGGGCTGAGAGAGCTCTTGACAGAAACTGCTCTTTTTCAAGAGCAGCTCTTATCAGAACTACGGCTTGCCCAAGGTCATCCAGCCAGGTGCAAGTGGAGGACTGTGGGGAATCAGACCCGGTTCTCCCAGATTAGAATCCGCGCACTTAAGCAATACACCAAACTGGCTCTCTACAAAAGGTAATCCTTCCAGTAGGTTCTTCTTGTTTGCTTTTATTCCTCAAGTATTGAGCTCTTAACAAACACAAAACATACGAAAACCTCTTAGCTGACCACAGTAGACATGGAGACCCTTTTGTCCAAGGACTGTCCTGGAAGCTGTGCTTGCTGAGCAGCCTGGCAATGAAACGTAAAAGCAACATTCCTTGCAATGTGAACGTCATCTCCATAGACCTGGAGAGCTTTGTGTACAGATTGATGGACCACTTTCCTCGAATCAACAATCATTTTCAGGGGGTTAAAACTGATTTTCTGACCAGGATCCCAGAAGACATGTTGCACCAAGAGGACATGCTGAAGGGATTGTTGGGAGTGAATATGGTTTTAGGGAAAATGTGGCTCTCAGAGGAGAAAACGCCATCTTTTGGATATTGCTCCTGGAGGTTCTGCAGCATGGTTTTCCAGTCAGGATATTTAATGGGCAGGATAATTCCATCAATGTAATTCAGCAGCAGATATTTACTCTTGGGCTGTGTGTATGTCCTTAGTCTCTATAAAGTTCAACAGCTCCCAACTGGTTCTTCTCTGCAACCAAGACACTAACATTTCATACATGTACCAAACAGGAACATTAAAAATACAAAGCATTCTGCCTTCTGAAAGTAGTAAAGTGAGATTATGTATGAGCAGGAAGGACATATTAGCATTTTCTGAAACTTCCATCTCTTGTTTCCAGACATACATATATTTCCCACCCCCGCAATAGCATCAAACCTTCAATTCTACTTCCAAGTGTTTACCTATTCACTACATGCAACTCTTATCTTTATGAGATGGGGTAACATTAAGACTAGAATAGGGACTGAATCTGCAGCACCTGTCACTTTAGAAATGAAAGGTATGATCACAAAAGCAGTTTAGATTAATAATTACCTTCGTGTGCACAGAAGCTTATAACCCAGATAAATATTGTACTAAATTTTATCTGCCTATATCCCACACCTAAAATCAATTTTTAGGAGTGCCAGTTTTGAACTTGAAAGGGAGGCGGAGCCTGAACCTCTCACAGGCTGGGAGAACTATAAGATTTCCCAGTGTGGGGGTGTGATTTGCACACAAATGCACATGAAGCTGCCTTATGCCGCATCAGACCCTTGGTCCGTCAAAGTCAGTATTGTCTACTCAGGCCCCGGTCACATGGGCCAGATATCGCGGGGGGGGGGGGAGGCGGTGACTGTTTGCCCAAGAGCGAACTACTGCGCGGCAGCTGGATCAAATGTCCCGCCCGATGTCCCGTGGTTGGGGGGAGGTGCTGATCATACCTCACTCCTGCGGCGTGGCAAAGAAGCAGCGCTGTGGGGGTTGTGTTGGGTTTTTTAACCCAAGTGTTTGCATGCACAGAGGTATTTCACATCAACCTACTACCAGATCTTTTCACTGGAGATACCGGGGATTGAACCTGGGACCTTCTGCATGCCCAGCAGATGCTCTACCACTGAGCCATGACTCCTCCTAAGGGTAATTTGTTTTTCTTGCGAAGAGATTTCTCTGAGATCAGAGTAGTGGCCCTGCTATGGTTCCAACAGTTCCAAGTTTGTTGCTTGAAATATAAATGCAGCTGCCTGGTGGATGTACTACATTTCATACATACAATGAAGTGAGCTCTGACTAACAACTGACTAACAAAAATTTATGAGGGAATAAATTTTGTTAGTCTTTAAGGAACCGGTGCACCCCTACTTAAGGCTCTTACCTGACTGACTACACATGCTAAGTCACTCAGAATTAAACTTTGTTGGTCTTAAAGGTGCTACTGGGCTACCTACTGCTTCAGACCAACAGGGCTGCCCATCTTTAAAAGGTTTACGGTGATGTGTTAAACTAGGGTTACCAGTTCCTGGAGATTAGGGGGCCGTGCCTGGGGGAAAGCAGAGTTTGGGGAAGGGAGGGAGCTCAGCTAGGACGTGATGCCCATAGAGTCCACACCCTCTGAAGCTGTCCTGCCCTCCAGCAGAAATGATTGCTGTGGACTGGAGATCAGCTGTAGGTCTGGGGAAGTTACAAGCCCACCCTTGAAGTTGGTAACCCTCTCCTAAAACCATGCAGTTCAATGGACTTAGAAAGGTGTAAAGGTAAAGGTAAAGGTTTCCCTTGCTCGAAAGCCAGTCGAGTCCGACTCTAGGGTTGCGGTGCTCATCTCCGTTTCCAAGCCGAAGAGCCAGCGCTGTCCGAAGACGTTTCCGTGGTCATGTGGCCGGCATGACTAAACACCAAGGCGCACGGAACGCTGTTACCTTCCCACCAAAGTGGTACCTATTTATCTACTTGCAATTTCTTGCTTTCGAACTGCTAGGTTGGCAGGAGCTGGAGCTAGAGACGGGAGCTCACTCCGTCATGCGGCACACTCGGGTCTCGAACTGCTGAACTACTGATCTTCCACAGCCTGCAGTTCAGCGTCTTAACCACTTGAGCCACCGCAGCTCCTTAGAAAGGTGTAACTGTGTGTAAAAAAAACAAAGTTAGAGTCCAGTGGCACCTTCAAGACCAACAAGGTTTTCTTCAAGGTATGAGCTTTCATGGGCACACACACTTCCTCAGACACAGTGCATAGGGAAGCTCATACCTTGAAGAAACCTTTGTTGGTCTTAAAGGTGCCACAGGACTCCAGCTTTGTTCTATTGCTTCAGACCAACACGGCTGCCCACCTGGATCCATCTGTGTGTAAAAAAATTATTCCTTATGAGTGACAGGCTAGACAAGAGAAAAACACCAAAATGCTGGGGAATTAGTCGGTGCACCCCAGGGTAACTAGCCACCACCAGTCCCTTTAACTAACTCTCCAGCTAATAGACCAAGGGACAGAGGCCCATTCTGCATCTAGCATTCGCTCCGTTGTTTTACCAAACCCGCGCTGGTACAGAAATTCCCCTCCACATTGCATGCCACTTTCACTTTGCTTGATTGTCGGATTTTATGACAGCGTCCAGACTGCATGCCCACTTTCACTTCATTCGATCTCTTGGTTTGATGGTAGCCGTCTGCATAGATTTATGTTTGTTTTATGGCCGTTCAGGGGTGACCCTGCAGTCAGTAAGGCGTAGGCCTGGGGTATTTGAATGTGGTTTTGAGCTGCATCTTTTTCTGTTCCAAAGTGGGTTTGGTAAAACAGCGGAGTGAATGCTAGATGCAGACTGGGCCAGAGTTCGGAGCCCTACCAGGTCTTCATCAAGAAGTCAGGCCGACAGGGTGGGACTCCATAAAACTCTGGTAGCCCAATGAAGGGCTAAAGTACTGGATTCAAATTGAAGCCTCAAAACCCAAGAACACCACAAAATATAATGAATAGGGTTTATTAAAGGAATGTGCAGATATATACACTATAAGAGCAGTGAATAACAAGAAAAAAACAAGAAAGGCTAAATAGCTAACCTAAGGCACTTTTACAAGCATTGGTTCTCTAATCCAGCTATCCAGACTGAGTCCAGAAAGAGTTTCAAAGTGCAAAGTCCCAGGTGGGTGTTCTGGGCAGCAAGGCTAGGACTGACAACCTCCAGGTGGGGTCTGGAGATCTCCTGGAATGATAACTAATCTCCATACTGCAGAGATCAGTTCCCATGGAGAAAATGGCTATTTTGGAGGGTGGATTCTCTGGCATTATACCCTGCAAAGGTGCCTCCCCTCCCCAAACTCCACCGTCCTCAGGCTCTATCCCCCAAATGTCCAGGGGTGTCCCCATCTGGAGTTGGCAACCCTAAGCAAGGCCCCAACATGGCTCAGAGTCAAGAGGTGACCCAAAGGCAGAGACAATCCAGACAAAGGACACAGACTAAAATGAAAGATCTTCCTTTATGCCACACTGTTGGCATGATTCTAGTTGACCAAATCAACTTCTGAGATCAGGTGGGTGAGCTGGATAGCCCAGGCTAGGCAGATCCCATCAGATCTCAGAAGCTAAGCAGGGTCGGCCTTGGCTAGTATTTGAAAGGGCAACTGCCAAGGAATACCAGGGCCGGGACACATAGGCAGGCAATAGAAAACCACCTCTGGAACATCTCTTGCCTTAAAAAACACACACACAAGTCTAGCTCGCCACCTAGTGGTGCATAACACCAAAGGAGCTAGAACTTCTGGCTGCCAGAAGAATTTATTTATTTATTTATTTATTTATTTGGGCTTCTAGCCCACCCTCCCCCATATAGCAGGCTCAGGGTGGGTTACAACAACAGTCTTAAAAGCATACCAAAAAATTTAAAATAGAATATAGCCATAAAACAGTTACAATATTACAATATCTAAATATATATAAAAGGCTAGCTGTGTTCCCGACGACTCATCTTCTAGGCTAGGTGGACATCTTTGTGGCCGGGGATGACCAGTAGATGTTGAGCAGAACCTTTTGTGTGGAAGAGCGCAAGGCCCTTCGAGGTCTAGAGACAGAGCAAGACAGTCCTGCAGATATGTTGAGCCCAGTCTGCATAGGGCTTTAAATGTAAGAACCAAGACCTTGACCTTGTTCCAGAATTAGGATCTCCTGGCTATTCTACACACAATGCCATAAAAGAATTAATTATTAATTAGGTGGGTGACAACTTGGGAGAAGGCCTTCTTGGCCATGCCACCAAAGCTCTGGATCTCTCTTCCCCTTCTGTTGCCATATTCCGCCAGCTGGTGAAGACTTTTTTTGTTTTGTTTGGCATTCCCTCAATAACCTCTCCTTCCTAACCAATATCTTTATGTTTTGTATGTATTTTAACTCTGCTGTTTTTCACACCGTTTTAATTATGTGTGTTTGGAGGACGGTTGATATTAATCCTTTCAAATTGTGATGTTAGGCATGTTTTAAATGGTTAGCTGCCTTGCAGGCCCTTGTAAGGGCGGAGAGGCGGGATACAAATTTTGTAAATAAATAAATAATGCAGGTGATTTCCCCTAATATAGAAATGCAGCTTCAAATGTCTCCCAACATCACCCTTCAATACTGACCCCAAGACATTGTCTATACTATTAACTAACCAGCTACAAAACTCAAAGTAGATATATCAGACTTTTAATTGTACCCCACTCCAAGATTGCAGAAACAGAATAAACTTTTTGCTGGCATATCAAATCAAAACATATGCTGAAAATCATCACTGGATGGATCATTAAGCAATAATTTTCCGTCTTCTGAGTATACAGCTAAAAGAAAGAGATTCTTAGATTGTTAAAGGAGAGTAACTTTTAAATTATGTTGTTGGAATAACTTGAAAATTTGCAAAAAGGCCTGCAATACTTTCCCTTACAATTATTTATTTTAGAGGCCAGTTAAAAGCTTAACACTGCAATCCTATGCACAGCTACTCAAGTCTCAATCCCATGGATTTAACAGATATGACTGGATATAAATTGAGAAAATACAAATGGAGCTACCAGTTGCTACATCTGGCCATGTCCATCACAGCCATAAGTTCTCTCATTGGCTAGAACAAGGGAGGTGGATCAAACTTTCTGTCAATCATTGTGATTACTTGCCTCATGGATTAGAACTAGGGAAGGGGGAACACTGTCAGTGGAACGCTCTCATTGAATGGCCACCTCCTTCCACTGCTCTTATCTCTACAGCACCACTTTGTTAAACTGTCCAGCGACATTCATGTCCATCAGTGAGATCTCTCTCAGCTGTATCCCCTATCTTACAGTGCTATTTGATGGAGCACTTTGCTGACATTCCCAACCAAAGACACATTATATCTCCAGAGACGTATGTCCCTAATGAGGGATTCTCTTGGAAGCTGTGGTTGCTTAGTAGCCCGGCAATGAAACAAAAAGCCAACATTCATTGGAACAAAAACATTGCTTCCGTATGCTTGGAGAGCTTTATGTACAGATTGCTGGATGACTTTCCTCGGATCAATTATCATCTTCCGAGGGTTCTCAATGGGGTTCTTGTCAGGCTCCCTGAAGACATGTTGCAGTATGTTGGTGCCAGGTATGTTTCTCCAAGAGGAAATGTTGAATGGGTCATCAGGAGTGAATACATGTTCAGGGAAAAGATGGCTCTCAAAGAAGAAAACAGCAGCCATTGGATATTGGGTCTTAAGGTTCTGCATCATGCTTTTCCAGTCTGGATATTTAATGGGCAGAATAATTTCATCAATGTCATTCAGCAGCACATATTTGCTCCTGTACATATTGCGATAGACGCAGTCATTTAAGGCTGTGATTTGTCCATAGTAGCCAATGTCCTTGGGATCCATTGAGTGATGCCAGTGAGGAGAAACATTGAGGTATAATTCAATGGGCCAGAGAATTATTTCAACAATCCCTTCTGCAACATAAAAGTCCAGCACTTTCTCCATCAGTGGGCTGCAGCTGTTCTTGTAGATCACCACTCGGCCCACCCCGAGGATTTTATACATCTCCATGCTCTGCACAAACTGCAAGACATTGTTGTATTCCCCAAACATGGTGGAAATGCAGACTGTAAACTCCACAAGGGAACCCCCAGGTTCACGATTTCTGATTTCAAATAGTGGTAATGGGTCTGTATTGTCCTTTGGAGACCACTGAATTGTCACATAATGTGGATCCCAGTGCTCTGGTTGTGGACAATGCAAGTGTGTGGCACCATAAGGGAATTCAAATCTCTCAGAAAGGACATGTATTTCAGCCTTGGAAATATGTGTTTCACCATTGGATGGGTTGCAAAACCGGCAGTAAAGTTCCTTGACCTCTTTGTGATGGACTATAGCAATCACTCGTGTCGTTCTGTTCTTCCTGTTGTCCAAGTATGGAGCAATGATAAAGGTTCTATTATCTCTTAAGGGTGTGATGGTGTCATTGACAACAATCCCACGGCAGAGGCTGTTCTTCACCACTGGCATGAAAGAGAATTTTCCATTGTAGAAGTAGGAATAGGTTGTTATTGATATGAAGATGGCAATGCAAACAACGGCAATCAAATTTGGTTTTGTCCCAGACATTTCAGGCTTCTTTAAAACTGGCCAGTGAAAGGAGATCAGATGCCTGCTCTGTAGCTAGATACAAAACCACAACAGAGTCAAGGAAGAAGTACTGGTGTTACCTTCCCCACTATACCTGTGTTAGACTCACTCTCCCCAAAAGCCTCGGAGGGACCCAGCAGCCAGAAAGGTAGTAAGACCAGGGTCCCACACCTCACGTTGGTCTCGCACAGGCAGGCAACCTTGAGCCAGAAAAGACTTCATTTTTGAACCAGTCTAACAGACTCAGGAGCCAAATAGGAGTATCAAGAACAAGCTTTTACACAGGATCCCATGACTGATACAATCAACAGAGATAGTCAGCCTCATCATCCTACTAATCTCTGATCCTATCTCTGCTGACCCTGGCACCACCTTGGTAAGCTGCACTGTCTCCTTCAAAGTAATTTTGAGGGTCTAGCACCCTTCCCAACTCAACATTGAGCCACTGACACGTAGAAACACAAATACTGAAGCCAAGCATCCTGCACGTACCCAGCTTAATCTGGCTACTCGTTACACCCCAGACCAGCCCACCCCTGGCTCCCCAAAAACATATTTAAACTGGCACTCCATGCCTCAGCCTTTGTACAGCTCTTGAGGCGCCCATAAGAGTGTATCCTCGGACTCTGTCTGAGCCTTTGACATGAACTGCTGGTCATGTCCTCCTTCTTCCACAAGGATTCCAGACTTCAGGATCACATGAATACTGCCCTATCCTGGTTCTCAGGTTACAACTTTAAAGGAAAGCTTCTTTATTCAGTAATGCGATAAAAGAAGTAAAATTGTCAGGCAGAGATTCCATTGGCCGAATCTACATATGCATTTTAGAATCAGCTTGGTGCCGCTGTTATCCCATGTGGTTTAGAACTACTGCGCCTCTGCTTTCAAGTTAGCATTAGGGAAGTTGTTCACTTTGTCTTTTTTCAGTTATCTAATCACAATCTACTGTTCATCACTAGATGGCCCCTGGGGGTTACTGAAGTGTTCTGGGACTGGAATGAGAGGCCCCACAGTGGAATGTTAGCCCCTGGGGTTAGCAGGAGTATTCTGGGACTGGAATAACCGGCTCCAGAGTAGAATGACAGCCCAGGGGGTAGGAGATGTGTCCTGGGACTGTAATGATAGGCCTGGCATTCCAGTTCCACGACACAACTCTTACTCCAAGGGGGTGTCATTCCACCATTGGGCCTGTCATTCCACTCCCAGAACACAACTGCTACCCCAAAGGGCTGTCATTCCACTCTGAGGCCTGTTATTCCAGTCGCAGAACACATCTTCTACCCCCATGGACTATCATTCCACTCCGTGATCTCTCATTCTAGCCAAAGATCACTCCTGCTGTCATTCCACTCCAGGGTCTCTCATTCCAGTTCCAGAACACTCCTGCTAACCCCCAGGGGCTGTCATTCCACTCTGGAGCCTGTCATTCTAGTTCCAGAACACTCCTGCTACCCCCGGGGGCTGTCATTCCACTTTGTGGTCTCTCATTCCAGTCCCTGAACACTCCTGCTATCCCCAGGGGCTGTCATTCCACTCCGTGGTCTCTTATTCCAGTTCCAGAATACTCCTGCTACCCCCAGGGGCTGTCATTTCATTCCGGAGCCTGTCATTCCACTCCCAGAACACTTCTGTTACTCCTAGGGTCTGTCATTCTTACCCCTGTGAACGTAAAAATGAGAAACGCCATGACTACAAAGCAGGAATATCAACTTTTTGAGCCAAATGCAAGCTCTAACTCAAAAAAGCTGCTGACTGTGCATTGCCCAGTCATATTCAGTGATTATAAATTTAATAAACAGATAAATTTCAAATAATTTTTTTTGAGGACTGGTACATAGTGATGAGTAAAAGCAGCCATGCCGGAATCAAACCAACAATGTTGAGGGCTGGTACATAGCTATGTACATAGCTAATCCTAAAAGAAATCAACCCTGACTGTTCCCTGGAAGGCCAGATAATGAAACTGAAGCTCAAATACTTTGGCCACCAAATGAGAAGGGAGCACTCCCTGGAGAAGACCCTGATGCTGGGAAAGATTGAAGGTCAAAGAAGACGGGGACGGCAAAGGATGAGATGGTTAGACAGTGTCATTGATGCAACGAACATGAAATTGAGCAAACTTCAGAGGACGGCGGAAGACAGGAGGGCCTGGCGGGAGATGATCCATGGGGCCACGAAGAGTCGGACTCGACTGTGCGACTGAACGACAACAACAACATAGCTATGAGGAAAGAGAGCCAAGCGGGAATAAAATTAGAAATGCCATTTCTGGATTTAAACGTTTTGAGATAAATGCAAGCTCTTACTGCACCAGTAGTGAACTTAAAAATGTTCAGTCGGTCTGTAAAAGGGGTCAAGAAATAAAAGCTTCAAAACAAGACTAAAATTTTAAAAATTATTTTGGGGGCCAACTAGTAAAAAGAGAAAAGAGTACTGTTGGAATCGAACCACGAGTTACCACCTAGTTTATTGTGTGCCACCAGTTGGAATTATTTAAGATTGAGCAGAGGAACGGCTTGTGCTTGGAGTGCAAGTTTAGAGAAATAGTCGGGGAAGCAGACATGATGAACACAGATCAAGAGAGTCTTATTGGCTAATGAAGAAAGGGTGGTGTCATAGAAAATGGACATGGTAACACACAGTGTAAAAGGGATAGAGACGGAGACTGAAATTCTCATGTTGGATTCTGATCAGAAAAAGGGCACATCTCCTCACTGCAGCCAAACTGTTATAGGGAAGGCATGCATTTAGATTGTACAAAGCCCTACAGTTGTCTGCTCTTTCCAGTATGTGAGACCTGTGCTGCTGAGAATTATTGTGAGTGGTAGTAGGGCAACCACAAAGAGCAGGGGTGATAGTGAGTCTCTTTGGAAACTTCCTCATTTGGTATTGACTGTTCCAGTTTCTTCTCCATTCACTACCAGCCCAGTGCTCCATTTACTCATGGCAGTTTTGATAAACGTCATCATGGTTCTGCTGATGCCCATCATCTCTCATGTTTTCAGGATCCATGTGTGAGGGAGTACATCAAATGCCTTCTTGTAATCAATCCAAGCAACATGCAGGTTGGTTTCTGCCTTTTGCAAGTCTGTAAGACAATTTTATCAGTCAGTAACTGATCTTTAGTGCCTCGAGATGTTCAGAAAATCCCTTTATGTTCATGTGGTAAAATTGAATTGAGCTATATATTTTCTTGAATGGAATTGGCTACGATTCCTGTCAGCAGTTTAAAAGTTGTTGGGAGGCAGGTCACTGGGCGGAAGTTGCTTGACACTGCTCCTTTCTCTTTGTTCTTCAAAATGACATCATCATCACCATCATCACTATCATTGCTGCTCTTTGTCATTACCCTAACACCATTCATAGGCTGTGGTCACACACACTTTCAATCCACTTCCAGTGCATTTTCCAACTGGATTTTACTGTATGAACTGGCAAAATCCATTTGGAAAGTGGATTATTTATTCTCAACAGCACAGGCCTAGGATACCAGCTTTCAAAGACAGGCCCCAAAGATTTCACACTTATTGTATATGGATGACTTGGTAATGTATGGAAAGTCATCATCAGAGACTGATTCTTCACCAAGTACAGTTCAGATATTCAGCAAAGATATAGCAATGGAATTTGGCCTCGACAAGTGTGCAGCATTAACACTGAATAGAGGAAAGGTCATTGAACAAGAAGAAATTAACAGCAACATCAAAACACTGAGCTCTGAAGAAAACTACAAATAGCTTGGAATTTTGAAAGCTGACAACATCAAACATAGTCTTGTTAAAAAAAATAAAACCAGGTATTACCAATGAGTTAAAAAGATATTGCAAACAAAATTAAATTGGGGCAACATGATAAAGGCAATTAACACGTGGGTAGTCCCAATTCTAAGATACACAGCAGGCATTATCAACTGGAAACAAGTAGAATTAGAAGCAATAGATCACAAAACTCACGAGATAATGACAATGTATCACTCACTGCACCCTAGAACTGATGATCATCTTTACTTACCAAGAAAATTAGGTGGAAGGGGTCTTTTGAAACTTAGCAAGCAATTGAAGAAAAATTAGTTGTTGTTTGTTGTTGTTCAGTCGCACAGTCGAGTCCAACTCTTCGCGACCCCATGGATAAGATCACGCCAGCCCCTCCTGTTTTCTGCCGTCCTCTGAAGTTTGCTCAATTTCATGTTCGTTGCATCTATGACCCTGTCTAACCATCTCATCCTTTGCCGTCCCCGTCTTCTTTGACCTTCAATCTTTCCCAGCATCAGGGTCTTCTCCAGGGAGTGCTCCCTTCTCATTTGGTGGCCAAAGTATTTGAGCTTCAGTTTCATTATCTGGCCTTCCAGGGAACAGTCAGGGTTGATTTCTTTTAGGATTGACTGATTTGATCTTCTTGCAGTCCAAGGGACTCTCAAGAGTCTTCTCCAGCACCGTAGTTCAAAAGAATCTATTCTTCGGCGTTCGGCCTTCCTTATAGTCTGCAACTCCCACGAACTTGGCTAGGTCAGGGCCCTGCAAGACCTAGGCCCCGTTCACACTCCAAATTTGCTGCGGGAGAGCCACGAATGCTGGGCAGATTTTCAGGGTGCGATCACACCACAACATCTGGCAAGTGTAGCGCACCCGTGGCCAACCCGTGGCATGCCGCCAAAGTTGCACAGTTAAAAAGTATCTGAACAAATGTATTAGCAAATGGTTTGCCATGGGCTGCCGATGGAATCGTTCTGTGTGATCGCACCAGCGTGCGGCTTTCCCCCGGCTGTCCTCGTTGATGCGGACGCACTGACGGACGAAACCACGGTGTGCCGCTGTTGTGTCTGATTGCGTTCTGGCGGGTCTAATTGCACTGGCGCAAAGAGCCACGCCTCCCCCCCATGTTATCTTGCCCGTGTGACCGGGGCCCTAGTACAGTTTCGTGTGGCTTGCAAAATGGAGCTGGACATCCCTCAGTTGGCCTCCCTGCTGCTGTTGCTACAG